GATCCGATCATTAAGAAAAAAAACTTATATCAGCTACAAAATTCATCCGATGCATAACTAAACGTGTTTGAAATCACTCAACAAAGTATATATACTAGATGACAAAAAACCTTTATCATGCAGCTTCTCCTTAATTAAGTTGCTAGATATCCATTTAATTACTTAATTGATTTTTATTAATGTTTTTTATTTCTTTAACTTTTGTTTAACGTTCTTCAATTTCTTTCATTGGTAAAATACTAAAATTCCTGCAGAATCACGTAAAAAATACCATTCCACGATTACTAAAAACATAATAATCATTAATATCTAAAAACTCAATTCTTCAATATTCCAGATTGCAAAACCAGACCGAAAAGCTAGCAAACCATAAACCGGCCAGTGTGATAGTCATGGAGGAGAATACCAAATACCTATTAACCGATATAAATTGCCGGTACAGAAACTACATGCGGAATTTCTTGGATCTCTTTTCCTTGTGATGATGCAGTTTCTTATTGAGAATGCCATTTTAAGACATTGTTAACGGTTAATAGGAGTGTGCATACGCTCAACAATCTTATTCACAGCATCTCGGGACATCACAAGCGTGTCGTGGAGCAGAATGCTGTAAACGTTAAGCCCCTGCAAAGCGTTGCACAAACAAGATTCAAGATTCGCTCTAACGGGCTTATTGAGAAACCGCAAAGTTTGATATGGGGATTATGTAACTTACTATTGATGGAAGTATGTTGACATAGTGGAGATTTTGGGTAGCTCGCTTTAGCTTTTCATCGATAGGACCACCTTCTACAATGAGGACTTTCTTTGTGTTCTCCATGTCATCGTAATACTTCACAATGTTCTTTGTTTTATGCGTTGGCAATGCCAGATCATCGAACACGAGGAGCTGCATAAATTTCCCAAAAAAACATTCAGCTCATCAACGGATACAATTAGACCGGTCTAATAACAAGGCACGGTTATGTAAAATCAAGAGCATAATAAGTTATGATTGAAGGAGAGAAAGCAGCTGACTTTTCCTTCTGCGGCTCGAGCTGTCAGTGCTATCTTCAATCCAAGCCTTCGAACCTGCTTATTCATCTTTATCGCATGGCTTCTTGGTTTGGGTCCATGCATTACACAACCACCTCGGAACTAACAGTTCAATAAAGTTCAATCAGACAACTATTTGGTGGTGAGAAACCTTAAAACTCCAACACTGATTTACCTGTGGACCACGCAGTGTACCATGTCTAGCTCGACCTGTACCCTTCTGATTCCATGGCTTTCTACCAGTTCCACTAACCTCACTCAATGTTTTGGTCGAATGAGTTCCCTGAACATCCATCAAATGTGTCAAACTTATTGATCGTTTGCTTAGGAGTAATTAATGCATTGTGAGATAATTAACTAGTTACCTGCTGACGTTTCGCGAGCTGCCATTTCACAACATTGTGAATGATATCTTTCCTTATCGGAACATCAAAGACATCACCCGCTAAAACGATGAAACCCTTGTCTTCATTCTGAAAGTTTGTCACCGGAATGACCAAGTCTTGATATTGTCCTACCAAAAGTAACAATACCCAAACCAGTGAAAACTTGTCCAAAATTTCAAAAATGACGTTAGCAATAAGGAAAACATCATTGTTCAGAGAGTTAATCACGTCTCAAGCTCAATCACAAGAAAGCGAGCAGAACATCCGGTAATCAAGTCTGTGTTAACAACCTTCATACAATAACTTAAGCCAGGCCTAGAAAACTATAACTCCAGAACACATACTATTTGCATTTTCCTAACACGACTACTCACTCTCTACCCAAACGAACTCGAAGATTCCGAAGATAAGGTACAAAAAGCTCAGCAAGCAACATGAAAGATATCGAGATTGGAATTAGCCTGGAGTCAGTTTGTAGCCAAACATGTACATACCTATGGTTTGTTGTGGTGCAATCACCGTCTTTTTCAAAAGTAAATCAGAGGGAAATGTATCATCGCTTGAGTCGGGAGTCAAAATCGAAGAGGATAGCTTTCGGTTGGAAAGTAAAGACATTCCATACTGCACACAAATATATGAAACCCAAATCTCAGAAAGATAATCAGTCAGGTAGTAAGTAGAACTTGATTATATCGCAAGTGACGATAAACACCAACCTTCACATCACTAGGAAGAAGAGAACGTAAACCATTTCCAGATGACAAATCTGTTCAAAAGAGAGACACAGGTCAAGAAAACAACAAATTACATTTCCACACCATATTTATAAGCTTATGAATTGAGATATTTTACTCGGTGAACCGCTGCGTCCAAGAGCTGTTAAAGATCCGAAACTGCTAAAAATCCTTCTTGAGATTGAAGCAGCCATAACAACCTCTGAGTCAATTGAAGAAGAAGAAACCTAGCTGCTCATCTACAAAACCAAATCCAATTTCTCAATACACATACTCGGAAAAAATGTTATCAATCTAATCGAAATGATGAACACGAAACGAAAGACAAAATTGAAATCTCAGTACGTATCAAAGGCTAATTCGAGCGATTGAGAAAATGAAATCAAAACCAGTTTCGCATACATTTCATTTGAAATTTTTAAAATCGAAACTAAGACAAAAATCAGTTATCAAGAGAGTAGATCCTATCGAGCTTCGACGTAGAAAACGTACCGGCGGTAACAAGCGGCGATGATGAACGGAGAAGAAGAAGGAAAGACGGCGACTATCAAAGGTTTTAGGCTTTGAATTCTTTTTCGAGTACAGTGAAAGGTTTACTTGTGTTTTTCTGGTTCGGGTCGTTACAAGACGGGTCGGATCTTATTGGGCCGTAAACTTAATTATTTAAGAGTAAAAAGCCCAAATAGACTTTGGATTTGCCAAATCGATTATTTTTGTTGGCTTTATTTGACTATTTTGTTTTTGTCTCTTGCATTATTTTTTTTAAAATATATCTACCGAAGACAAGAAAAATTATACAATTCAGGATTTTTTTTTTTGATAAAAATATATGAATAAAATTATAAGAGCGTAAAAAAAAAAA